CACACACGCACACACACAGACAAAGCTCTCTGTAATCACCCGGTATCCGGCTGAGTTTGTCAAAACTCGGCTTGTTAGATAAAGAACATAATAGTCTTGTTGAGAAAGAAATGATTTACTGTACATCAATAAAAGACACAGAGGGGTTAGAGACCCTTGTGTTTGACCAGAATAATCTTTAAGATTTGAATGTACACATATTATATTGTCAGCTTGCTAATTGCTCACTTATGTATTGCTTAGAAAGGATCAATTTGATCGCTCTTATTGTTTTAAGAACACAATGGAAGCGCCCCGAGGAAGTCTACAGGAATTTCTGGCATCCTGAGTTCAGTGCAAAGAGATCTCCGGCTGTTCACAGTCTGAGGAGAGGAGGCTGGTCCTGTAGGGAAGGGGAGGGACCTAACAGCTGGATCTGCTGTATATCTGACCAGTGAGCACAGAGGACTGTGCCTGAGGTGTTGGGAGCACCTCAAAAACCCTGTGCCTCTTGTACCAGCTGAGACCGACTGCTAACCAGTGATAACCAGAGTAGGACTTTGAGCACTCCAATAACATCAGGTAAGAGATTTTTTTTTTTAACATTGGTGATTTAAAACTTCAATAACTTATTTAATTTGTTTCAAAGCTCATAAAAAAAGAAGCAGTCTTCTTAAGGAAAAGCTAATTGTTTCAGTGAAAGTGTTAGTAAGTAAAACCACATTAAGCTTATTTCCCTGTGTGGGTCAAAGTGAGATAAAGTTGTACAAGCCAGATGTGAAGAACTAACTGTTTCCTGCACTGTCAGCCAACACCCTCCTGATAAAAAGGGAAAGCAAACATTCCTCTCTGATTACCTTTGCCCATACTTATTATAATACAGCCTCTAAGTCACTGTTGAGGCTTTCGACAAGTCTGAACACTGTGTCTACATCACCCTCTGGGTTATGACACACATTAATGACAATCCTATTACAGTTACAGAAACTGTTATGCAACTCTCCACGATACTCCATTGCCTCATTCATTCCAGTTTTTATATTGCTGAGATGATGTCAAGAATGCACCACATTGATAAAGACTTCACTGATGTGATGCAATGGGGCTCGTAACCCAAAGGTGAGACAAAACAGGCAATTTGCAGTGTTGTATCAACCTGGTTTACAACTCTTTCTTCAAGGCACAAAGGTAACTGGTTTGATGGGTTGTGAACTATTAAATCTTCTTGTCATTCAGAGAGAGTCTTGGCTAAGTAGAAGCAACACAGTTAGAAGACTTATAACTCATTCTGACAAGTAGGCGTAACTTTAATTAGCATCAAACACACGGCAAAGTCATTATACAGTCACTGAGAAAAGTTTCACTTACGTAAATCAAGTTTTACTTTACACAAAGATATATAAACCTTCCTAAGAAACTGCTGGTATAAAAGAGGACTTATTTTAGTCATTAAACATCTCGTCAAAGTCAACCAGATTTGCTTTATAGGCTGAAAGAATGAATGAAAACACTGATGCTATATATTTGTCTCATGACCCTGTTAAAGTAACGGTAAAGTCATTAGAATTAGAGCTGTAACTGGGTGTCCTGATGGCTCACCTGGTAGAGCAGGCGCCACACGTGTTGGGGATGAGTCCTTGCTGCGGCGCCCACGGGTTCGCATCCAATCTGTGGCTCTTTGCTGTATGTCATCCCCTCTCCCTCTCTCCCCCTTCCTTGTCCATCTCCCAAGCCTTAATGTCTAATAAAGGGGGGAAAAAGACCCAAAATATATACATCAATTACACAAAAAGAGTTAGAGCTGTAACGATTCATTGATTAACTAACAACCATTTTGCAATTTTTTTTTGTAAATTAAGTATCTTTTGTGTAAAGACATCACCTCGGCCTCTAAGAAATTAGAGGGTGCTTCAAAGTTTTCTGACCAAACCAAGAACATAATGGGCGTATTAATCATTCAGCTCTAATAAGTAACAGATTTTAAACAGATAATGAGGTATAACGACATATAACTGTACAATCTTATACAATCCAATATTACTGTTGTGCCATACAGTCTACATACAGTCTCTGATGTTTTGGTTTGTTTCTTTTACACAGACTCAAAGGTGTTAATTAAATGATGTTTTAACATTGAGGTTATAGTTAGTGATGATGATGTACTGGACTGCATTATATTCAGATATATCAGTATAACACCACCTTTATGATCTCAATAATAAACAACAAAAACAAACAATATAATTTAATTTACACATACATAAACATTAAAGACATATGTTATCTTATGCCAGGGCTGTGGTATTGGGCTACTTTAAATTGAACAGGTGTAAAGTATCTAATGGACACAGAGTGTTTGATTACTGTAGGTACTTGAGAGTTATCCCTGAGTCAAAAAGGTGTGGAACAACTGAAGGCTAAAGCTCCTTTTATTTCAAGATTAAACATCAGAGATTAATTTAAAAAAAGTATCTACTTATAAAAGGGTACAGAGGAACAGGAGAGTCAAGTAATTTGACTTAACATTAAACAGCCACAGTATGTTTACACTGTGTGGTAACTCTTTAGCTTTACACATTTGCCTTCACGACACGATAAGCAAACTCATACAGTGTAATAAATGTAAAGTAAATGTTCAACATCTTTAAAAATATTCAAACATTTACAAAGCGGGTGTCAGTATCAAATGGCAAACTCAGCTGTTGCAGGCAGAGATACAGAACTGCATAACTGCTGCTGTTGTTCAAATACAGTCTTGTTTTTACATTAGCATTAGTTTGTGTAACATGGACTGCAAGTTCTCATAGTCATGATGTTGTAATTGCAGCATAGTAACCTTTGCAGGTTTTACATTGCATGTAGTGAAAAAAAACGTACACACCTTTAGTCCACTGAGATTATAACTTACAGTAGAGTGCTATCTTTAACTACATGGGACTTCACAAGCTATTGTGGTAAAAAAAAAATGCTCGAATGACAGGTGGTGATTTCCATCTCAAGCAGTAAAGCTAATTATTTTCTGACACAATTCCAACAGTAGGTAACATGTGGAAATAATCATGTACAGAATAGAGCCTTGTCTAAAACAGTGAGCATGTTTGTGTACTTCAAGGCTGGGTTCCCCTCCACACCTTTTCTCCTGATCATGAATGATTATGTTTACTCCTAACTGATGGGCATGACATAATCTATCACATAAAACACAACCTCTAACCTATAAAGACAGAAAAAGGGTGGGAAAAGCCACGAGTTTCCAGATAGCAGCATTCCTACAGTACAGTACAGTACTGTGTTTGATCAAACTTCAATGTTATGGTAATTTTTTGTGTTTTTTATTACTATATCTTCTTATTTCTTTTAATTTCAATCTTTTCATAGAACCCAAAGCAGAAAGAATTACAAACACAATTAGATTTTCTTTAAACTTCACTGATGCATTTACTGACTAAACTAACTGCAGCAGCAAATAGTATGACCTAAAGGTTTAAAATACAGCCCGCCCTTAAGCTTTTCTATAATGGACAATGGATCACATGACTACTTGTATGTGAAAGAAAGTGCTCATAGTAAAAAGCCAACGGAAAATGCGCAGAATTTTTGCATTTTAAAGCTAATTTTTCTGGTTTACTATTCTTAATAATGTCAGTTTAGCTGCAGCAGGCAGGTATTTTCAGCAAAAAAAGCTCTGCAGATGGACAAAGTTAGCGACTGTAGCTGATGACCATAGTGGAGCATTTAGCAGATAAAGAGCCAGATATTTCCTTCAGGAGTAGGTGGGAAACAAAAACAAAGGTAAAAATATTGAGAATTGTAATTATGAGGTTTAAAGGGTTAAGAGTGTAGTGTTTGTGTATTTCAATGCCAGTTGTTACAACACTGGGCATCTGGCTTTTCCAGTTTTGAAGTGTTGCCAAAGCAAATACAAGACGCTTGTGAAATGTGTCCGTGAACTTGCAATGAGCTCATTTCTAATCTGAAACCAGACATGATGAAATGGAAAGAGAAATGTGGGTATGTAAAATAAAGGCCTGAAGTAGAATATAATTACATTTTGTTTTTTTTGTTTTTTTTATTGAATCAAATGTATTTACAATTCCCTAACCATTTTTAACTGTTTATTCATGTCTCCTACATACATAACTTTTTACATTTACCCAAAAGTCTGTAGGAAGGAAGTCTATGCTGGAAATACTATTCATGTCACAAAAATATTTAATTTCTCTTTCATGTTAGTTGTCATTTATTTTTATGGCTAAAAAGCATTTGTATTGAATTAGGTCAGTATCAATATCACCCTCGTTAAAATATTGCATTTTTTTTATCTTTGTTGATAACTTATCTGATATCTGGTATTATTATATATATTATATTTCATTTTATGGTATAGCTGTAAAAAAGAAAGAAAATAAACTAATAAAGTAGATAAACACACTCATATCATAAAATAATCACATCATCAAATCACAAACAGTTGTAAGAAAGAGATTTGATAAAACTTATTTTGCTTGCCTTATCTCTACAGAGCCGGAGTTACAAAGCCCTGGGGCTCTGGCCATAAAAACCTGGGTACCTTTGGTCTTTATTGATCCTGGATTCTGGGGCGGTTAGAAGCATCCAAGGATCTGAGACCGCGCACAGACACTTCAAGGAAGCTAAAAGGTTTGATATGAAGTCGGAAGACCTATTTTATGGGTGCCATTCAAGTTCAGATCTCTAAGGGCAACAGGTGAACCTTCCTAGCCACTAAAAGTGGAAGAAAGGCAGAGCTAGAACGGTGAAAGGATTGCTTATTTTACAAAAACTCTTATCACACCCTATTTGGAGAACGTCTCAATAATATATATGACAAATAATTGCACCAATTAAGATGCAAACAATCCTGCCTTCATCAAGGTCATCAGTTTTTATTGAAACTGTGTTAGAAAGATGTTCATTAAACTTTACAGTCAATAATGAGCACTTCTCAGTATTAACGCAACACAGTTCCACAGCACCACAAACTACAGCCTACAAATACAGTTGAGTCAGCACCTCTCTAAAACAGTTTTAACAAAAACTGCATTTAATGAAGGTAGAATTTATTGCAAGGCAAAATTTAATTTTAGCAAGTAGTACCTAATAAACTGCACTGAGTGCATTTGTCATTTATATATAAATAAATCAAAGGATTGCATATGATTTCAACACTGTTTACTATGCGTATACTGGTATACATTTTTGTGATGAATACAAAAATACCTTTTAAATGTTACTTAGAGACAAAGCATGCGTTATCTAAACTAATCTAAGCTAGTGTTTCTGTGTCACACAGCACTGTAGGACAAGATGGACACTGAGGTGAAGCAAAATGGCTACACAAAAGTCCACAAACCTGTGGCTGGCATATTTCTGGAGAAAACAAAGGAGAAAATAACCATATACCAAGCCATGAAAAAACGTCTTCTTAAGCCAGGAACAGCATTAGCTCTGCTTGAAGCACAAGCAGCCACAGTGGGCATCGTAGACCCAATAAAGAATCGAATACTTCCGGTTGCAGATGCTGTTAAAGAGGGAATAGTTGGACCAGAAATGAAAGAGAAACTCCTCACAGCAGAGAAAGCTGTCACTGGCTATACAGACACCTACACCAACCAAATGATATCTGTATTCCAAGCTATGCAAAAAGATCTAGTCCCAAGAGATTTGGGATTGAGGCTGCTGGAAGCACAGATAGCCACACAAGGCCTGTTTGATCCTGTTGACAAGAAAAATATTTCAGTTGAATTAGCAATTCAAAAGGGCTACTATGAAAAAGGGTTGCTTGATAACCAGATGTCAGAGCTCAAAGTGTTCTACAATCCAAGCTCACAAGAAAATCTTAACTACCAAAACCTCCTAGAGAAATGCACTGTGGAGGCTGACACAGGCCTGTTGCTTCTTCCGGTTTGCATCACCTTCAAAGGTCTGCGAAGAGGTATTTCCTCCACTCAACTCCTTGAATCAAAGATTATTGACAAAGATACATTTGATGACCTACAGAAGGGAAAGACCACAACACAGGATGTGATGTTGATGGAAACAGTGAAAGAATACTTGGAGGGCAAAGGCAGTATCGCAGGCATTGCTGTACTCTCATCAAATCAGAGAATGAGCATTTATCAAGCCATGAAGCAAGGCATACTGATGCCTGGAACAGCACTAGTTCTACTGGAGGCACAAGCTGCGACTGGATTCCTGATTGATCCTGTGGAAAATAAAAAGTACACTGTGGATGAAGCCATCAAAAACAAACTCTTTGGCCCAGAATATCATGCAAAGCTGCGTTCTGCTGAGCGGGCAGTAACTGGGTACAAAGACCCATACACAGGTGAAATTATATCCCTGTTTCAAGCACTCTCAAAAGACCTCATTGTTAAGGAACATGGGATCCGCCTACTTGAGGCGCAAATCGCTACAGGTGGAATAATAGATCCAATCAACAGTCACAGACTTCCGACAGAAGTGGCCTTCAAGAGAGGTTATTTTAATGAAGAAATGAAAACAATACTAGAGGATTCAGGGGATGACACAAAAGGATTTTTTGATCCAAACACAGAAAACAATCTAACTTATCTTCAGCTGATGGAAAGGTGCGTCACTGATCCCATCACAGGACTGTGCCTCCTCCCTCTCCTTGATAAGTCAGACAGACTGAATTTTAACTTCATTGACTACCAAACTAAAAAGTCCTTCAAAGAGGAGAAGGTGAAAGTGACATGTGGAAAGTACATGGGAATGACAGTATCTCTGTGGGAACTCCTGATGTCAGAATACTTTGATGAACATCAGAGAAGAGACATCATTCAAAAGTACAGACAAGGGAAGCTCACTATCAAGACGATCGTCACAACGGTTCTGGAAATCATAGAAAAGTCTGTGAAAACAACTCAAGTTGTTTTTGAAGGCATCAGAGAAACTGTCACAGCCAAACAGCTTGTGGATGCAGATATCATTAGTAAGGAGGTCCTGGAGGATCTGAAAAAAGGAAAAGTGTCAGTGAAGGACGTGACAGAGGATGAAAATGTAAATGTATACCTACAGGGGAAAGACAGCATTGCAGGTATTCTGCTTCCCGATTCTCAAATCATGACCATCTACCAAGCCAAACAAAAAGGAAAGCTGATGCCAGGAACTGCTCTGATTCTACTGGAGGCACAGGCAGCAACAGGGTTCATTATTGACCCTATTGGAAACAGGAAGTTTTCAGTGGATGACGCTGTCAAAGCAAAGATTGTGGGGCCTGATCTCTGTCAAAAGTTGCGTTCTGCAGAGAAAGCAGTCACTGGGTACAAAGATCCATATGATGGTAAGATCATTTCTTTGTTCCAGGCCATGCAAAAAGATCTAATCGTAAAAGACCATGGAATTCGACTCCTGGAGGCACAAATTGCCACCGGTGGGATCATTGACCCAGTGAACAGCCATCGCATTCCTGTCCATGTGGCCTATCAGAGGGGATACTTTAATGAGAAAATGAATCAGATCCTGGATGATCCCAGTGATGATACCAAAGGATTCTTTGACCCCAACACCCATGAGAACCTGACATACTTGAAGCTCATGGAAAGATGTGTCAAAGATCCTAGTACAGGTCTCTGCCTCTTGCCACTCAAAGGCAAAAGTAACAAAATCATTATAGATGATAATATGAGGGAAACATTTAGAACAACAACAGTTACTGTTAAGTATGGCAGGTTCAAGGGCAAGCACACAACACTGTGGGATCTTATCAATTCAGAGTATCTGTCTGAGGACAAAAGACAGGAGTTTTTCAAGCTCTTCAGGTCAAGGAAAATCACAATTGAGCAACTCATTGTCACCATTTTAGAGATCATTGAGAGCAAGGAGATAAAACAGCAAGCAGGGCTGAACTTTGAAGGTCTCAGAGGAGAGATCTCTGTTGTGGATCTTTTGGAGCTTGAAATTGTGGATGAAACAACATACAACAGTTTGATTGATGGAGCGATGACCAGCACCGATGTGATGAAAATTGACAGTGTGAGAGCCTACCTACAAGGGAAAAGTTGTGTGGCTGGTGTGATTCTGCAACCCTCTAATCAGAAGCTAAGCATCTATGAGGCACAGAGAATTGGCATTCTCACACCTGGCACTGCCCTTTGCCTCCTTGAAGCACAAGCTGCCACAGGGTTCATTGTTGATCCTCTGAAAAACAAAAAACATACAGTGGAACAAGCTCTCAAAGAAAAGATAATTAGTCCACAGATGTATGAAAAACTTTTGTCTGCAGAGAGGGCTGTCACTGGTTACCAAGATCCCTACACTGGTCAAAAGATTTCACTTTTCCAAGCCTTGCAAAAGGATCTAATTGTCAAGCAGCATGGAATACGTTTACTTGAGGCTCAGATTGCTACAGGTGGTATCATTGATCCCTTGAAGTGTCTTCACTTACCCCTTGAGATTGCATACAAGAAAGGATATTTTGATGCAGAACTCAATCAAATCCTATCAGACCCAACTGATGACACGAAAGGCTTTTTTGACCCAAAGACACATGACAATCTGACATACATGGAGATGGTGGGCAGATGTGTCAAAGATAAGGAAACAGGACTGTTTCTCCTGCCACTGAATGACACACCAAAAGCTACAGGACCAAAGGCAAAAATGTATACTGACACAGAGATAAAGCAAGAGTTTGAAAAGACAGCTGTGAGTATATCAGTTGGACGCTACTCAGGAAAATCAGTTTCTCTGTGGGACTTGATTCACTCTGGGTACTTCACTGAGGATCAACGGCTTGAATTCACTGAAAACTACAGAACAAGGAAGACCAGCATAGAAACCATCATCACATTAGTGATCTCCACCATTGAAAAACTGGAGAAGAGTGAAACTCCCAAAATGACAATGGGCCTGCGAAAGCCTGTCTCTGCACAACAACTACTGGATTCTGATATCATTGATGCAAATACATTCAAACAGGTGAAAGAAGGAAATCTCGCTTTTGAAGCAGTGACCCAAAAGGAACCTGTAAGAGGATACCTGAAGGGAATCGGAAGCATTGCTGGAATTAAAGTTCATCCATCTCAGAAAGTAATGACCATATATGATGCAAAAAAGAAAGATCTGTTGACACCTGGCCTTGCACTTTTACTTCTTGAAGCACAGGCTGCAACAGGATGGGTCATAGATCCTCTCAAAAACAAGTTCTATGCTGTTGATGAAGCAGCTAAAGAGAAAGTAATTGGACCAGATGTACATGAGCAACTTCTCTCAGCTGAACGAGCTGTTATTGGCTACAAAGATCCATACACAGATGCAACAATATCACTGTTTGAAGCCATGAATGAAGAGCTGATTCAAAGAAGCAATGGCATTTGTCTTCTTGAGGCACAGCTAGCAACAGGAGGAATAATTGACCCTAATCAAAGTCACAGACTACCTGTTCATGTTGCCATTAAAAAGGGGTGTATCAATGAAGAAATTAGCAAAATTCTGTTGAACCCCACTGATGACGCAAAGGGATTCTTTGACCCTAATACCAAAGAAAACCTCTCGTACCTTCAGCTCATGGAGCGATGTGAGAAAGATCCTGAAACAGGGCTACTTCTTCTACCTCTGTATGGAGAAGAATCCCACGTGTTTCACACAGATGAGAAAATAGAGCTCACATTCAAAAACAAACGTATTTCCATTAATGCAGGAAAATTTAAAAACAAAGAGGTGACACTGTGGGAAGTGTTGCTATCTGAATACATATCAGAACAAAAACGGCAGCAGCTCATACAACAATACAAGACAGGAGCCATGAACATCGAGAAGATCATTGAAATACTCACTGTTATCATTACAGAGGTATCATCCAAAGAAAGAAAGTTCAAAGGACTAAGAAAGCAGGTCTCAGCCAGTGAGTTGTATGAGTCCAACATTATCTCGAAAGACCTCTTCACACAGATTATTAAAGGGGAAGTAACTGAAGAGAATGTTAACAATATGGATTCAATTCAGAAGTACCTTGGGGCTACAAACTGTATAGCAGGTGTTAGAGTGGAATCTACAAAGAAAGTTATGAGTATCTATGAAGCCAAAAGCAAAGGTCTGCTGACTCCTGGAACTTCTCTTGTTCTACTGGAGGCCCAAGCTGCCACAGGCTTTGTCATCGATCCAGTGAAAACAAGAAACGTCTGTAGCGGAAGCTGTGGCTCAAAGAGTGGTTGGCAGTGAGTGGAAAACAAGCTGCTTTCAGCAGAAAAGCAGTTACTGGTTACAAAGACCCCTACACTGAGACACAATTTCTTTATTCCAGGCCTTGAAAAAAGATCTCATTGTGAAAGATCACGGAATTCGTTCTAATTGCAGCACAAATGCCACAGGAGGCATAATTGACCCAGTGCACAGTCCACGAGTGCCTGTACAGGTGGCTTATGAAAGAGGTTACTTTGATGAGGAAATGAATCAGATTCTGTCTGACCCTGATGATGACACCAAGGGCTTCTTTGATCCCAACACTCAGGAGAACCTCACCTATCTCCAGCTGGTTGAGAGGTGTGTTACAGATCCCATCACAGGCCTTAGCCTACTGGTCAATTGCTAGAAAGGCGAGTTCTATTTCTTTGTTGATGAAGCAACAAAACCATTCTGAAATCTACAACAACAACCAGAGCAGGGGGAATACCAAGGAACAACAGTGTCTCTGTGGGATCTGCTCTACTCCAAATACATCACTGAGGAGAAGAGGGAGAGAGCTTGTGAAAAAGTACAAGTCTTGATCAATCACAATCGAACGCTTTTTGGAAATCATCCTGACCATCATTCAGCAACAGATGAATAACAACCTCATCATCATCAGTAGTCAAATGCCCACCCACCAGAAACGAAAGTGGACAGCAGCACAACAAAAACTACCATCACCACAATCACAGAGACAAGTGAATTTCAAAAATTCCATGGAATCAGAAAGGATGTCACTGCTACTGAGTGCTTGAATCGCAAATCATCAAATGAGGACCTCTACAAAAGATCTTAGCGCTGGAAAGGTCACAGTGGACTGAAATAAGCGAAATGGAGTCAGTACGAAGTATTACTAGAGGAACTAACAGCATTGCCGGGGTGTACCTGCAGTCCACCCGACAGACCCCTGAGTATCTATGAAGCCAAAAAGCAAAGGTCTGCTGACTCCTGGAACTTTCTCTTGTTCTACTGGAGCCCAAGCTGCCACTGGATTTGTCATCGATCCAGTGAACAACAAGAAACTGTCTGTAGGGAAGCTGTGGCTCAAAGAGTGGTTGGCAGTGAGTGAAAAACAAGCTGCTTTCCAGCAGAAGAGCAGTTACTGGTTAACAAGATCCCTACACTGGGACACAATTTCTTTATTCCAGGCCTTGAAAAAAGAGTCTCATTGTGAAAGACCACGGAATTCGTCTCCTTGAAGCACAAATTGCCACAGGAGGCATAATTGATCCAGTGCACAGTCACAGAGTGCCTGTACAGGTGGCTTATGAAGAGGGTTACTTTGATGAGGAAATGAATCAGATCTGTCTGACCCTGATGATGACACCAAGGGCTTCTTTGATCCACACCTCAGGAGAACCTCACCTATCTCCAGCTGGTTGAGAGGTGTGTTACAGATCCCATCACAGGCCTTAGCTTGCTTCCTTTGCACAAGTAAAGGAAAGAAAACCTTTCTACAACTATATATTCTTGTGCTTTGCTTGTATTATTGGATTTTTTTAACAGAACTGCAGTTAGTATTATTTTCTCTCTTAGTCACAAAATAATTTTACTGCATTTTTTTACTTTTTAGTTTGTCCTCAGTGACATTTGGAGAGAAACATAAATAGCATACTGTACTGTGCTGAATACTGTTAGTTATTAATGGTTGAAAAAGAGTTTGAGAAAGGGATTATAGAAAATGTGTTATTCTATTATAAAGAGATGTGTCTTGTTTACAATTTGTTATCACTGTGAGCACTGTAGACCTTCGAGCCAGCCTGCACAAAACCAAGGCCATAGCACTGAAAGACCAAGTTCATCCATCATTAAAACTTAAAGTGAACACAACCTAGTGAAACTGACATTATAACCTCTGCAGAAACTGTCTAATTTTAAGATTCTAATAATCACATAGAAAGAAAGTATACAATACAAATAGGGTGTTTAAAGGTTTTAGCTACCCGTGTTTGATATGCCAAATGTTTGCTGTGAAAAAAAGCTGTGTTTAAATGGGCGTTAACACTAAAAAGTAGCCTATATATACATTTTTCTATATAGGTCTTTTTCTCGTCGTCAGTCTCGAGTAATTACCCAATTTGGATCTTCTTTGAATACATACATGGCAGTAATTGTTGTATCCAGCATTCTGGGTCTGTGATACTTATTTTTATTGTTTTGTTGTTTCTTGTTATTTACGGGATCTATGGATTTGATTGTTTTTACACTGATATTACTATTACTTGATATTGTTATTTTTACTGCACCTATAGAAACTGGACTTATGTTTGACATGTAATGTAATTTTTTCTTACAAAAATCTGTTTTCAATTCAAAGTCAAATGTGAGTACAGTGCATAGATTTGCTAGGCCTACTTTGACCTCACCTGGAAGCCAGCCATGCACTTCCTGTTTTTTTAATTATTGTAAAACCTTTCTTATTCAAATTGTTTCATTGTGCGACTCAATAAATAAGATGTAAATACTATTTCTTAGCTTTTTTTTTTCAACAATTTTGTTCATACATCTCAAATATCCTGCTGATCTTGATTGTATTGTATTGTGTCTGTATGACAGATACTGTACAAGAGCTTCCAATTTGAAGAGTCTTCACATGGGTTGAAAAAACATTTAGAATCAACAACAATAAAAGCAAATCAAAAGTAAACATTTGTAGTTTCAAGTAAGAGGGTAAAATAGGTCTCTTACTTGAAACACTGAACTGAATGCATATTTGAGTGCAGCAAGAAGTCATTTGGCCATTCTGTAAATTTAGCTTGATAGCACAGCACTCTCTAGTGGAAAGAAATGTCATAACCAACTTTATAGTGACATGATGAACATTTATTTTAAATTTCAAATATTTCTTAAACGTTTTTCTGGAATTATTGTAACCTGGTGTGTAAAAAAAAAACAAAAAACCAAGTCACAAATTACAGTCCAAAAATCCTGGAATACACAACATAATGTCCCTGTAGGTTTACAACTGAGGTGATACATAAACACGTATTTAAATCCAATATGTCAATGTCACTTCTCAAGCTACATGTAGACAGTGCTCTTACTGACTCTCTCTGATTCAAAACGCTTGGTTTCTGCTCTCTAGTATCTGTAAGGAGTCCTTTTGCATAAACTGTGTGTTGTGTGTGAACAGTACACCTATAAAACAACATCAATTCAATTTTATTTTATTTACAAAAATGTGTGTGTAAAAGATCTACAATACTTAAACAACATAATCAACAAAAGAGTCATGTTTTAAGACAGTCGTATAAGTTTTTATGATTTCTCGAACCAAATGAATATGAAAACTAGTCCAATTTGTCCAGCAGTTGGCGAATGTCTTTTTGGCCACGGTAAATTCTCTTTACTCCTCTTGGAAGATAACGGCAGGATGAAAGATTGAGGTAGCTAAGAACAGTCGTTTGGCCGATGACGGACCTGCAAAATAAAGTACATTTTTTTTATGATCTCCTTTGAAAGATAAACCTGCATTATTTAGGAAATTACAAATGTGAATGTTTGATTTATGATCACTTCTGTAGGCCTGCACGTTCGCTCTTTAAAGGGCTGGTTCATAGTTTATTGGGTTATTTGGACCGGTAGAGTAAAGAGGGCAAATTATACATTGAGTACCTGAGGGCAGGTGGTGTGATCCTGGTCCCACTGAGGTTGAGTGAACGCAGAGTATCTGCCTCTGTTGCCTGAGCGAGGTTACTCATAGCTATCTCTAAGTCCTCCGCAGTGAAGAGCTGGTTTGAAATATCAAGCTGCTGCAGTGTTTGTCTCCATTTCTGGGTCACCATGTGAATCCCCGCCTTAGGTGAGGACAACCCAACACTGCTGCTGAAATACTGTCCCCAGAACAGACACTCAAGCTCTGCCAAATCACACACAGGAGACGGTAGCACTGATTAATAAAAAGGGTTTTGGATGCAAATTCAAACCATTGATATTATGAACAAAGTTGGATATTTTATTAGTAAATTCAAAATAAGTACTCAAAAGCATTAAGTATAAGAAAACAATAATATTTCTCTGCCTCATGCCCTTTCAGGCCATTTTGGATCAAATATAAACATGTATGAGCCCCAAATGAGGTCACTTAATAACCCAAAATTTACCAAAGTTGAATAAAGTATGAATCTTTTGACTCAGCCCTACCGAGACAGGGTAGTTTTGCGAGTCCAGAGGGTGTGATTCGCGAACAGCCTCGCAGGTCCAGCACCCGCAGCCTGGTGGAACCAAAGAGAATGTCCCACAAATCTTTGTCGGTCATGTAGGAATAAGACGTGGTTGCGATACATAGCTCCTCCAGTAACGGGAAGCCTAATGTTGAATCGGCACCAGTACGCATTGTCTTATGCAGAGGTCTGACATTCAGCATCCGGAAGGTCTGATGGGAAGTACAGTAGACGTTTCAAAGGTGAACACGCTGCACATACATAGCATACCGATTCATTATACACTGACAAGGACACATAGCATGAAAAGCTAAAAAATATATGACTGACAGGAGACAAGATGGCAACGAATTATTATATTAATTTTTAATATAATTTTTAGAAAACAGTGAAAAATGCCTATTGTCAGAGCTCAAAGTTGCATTTTCAGATGTCTAGTTTTGTCTAACAAACAGTCTGAAACCCAAAGATAGTCAGTTTACAGTGATATATGGCAAAGAAAATAATGAAATCCTCACATCTGAGAAGCTAAGCCAAAGTTTGGGTGTTTTGCTTGAAAAATTACTAAAGGATTGTCCAATTATTAAAATAGTTGTCAGTTAATTTCCTGAATAGAATTACACATCATATGTACATTACCTGCAAAATAAATTAATTATAATGACCTGATTCTTTATTTAACAGCGTTGTGGCTCCAAAACAATGAAGTTATAGTGCCAAATACATCAAACATTTACATACAGTCACACTGATTTTTTTACCTTGAGTTTAGGACATGACATCTGTAGCGCCTGGATGCAAACTGGAAGTTCACAATCTTTACTGTCGAGCTTTGTGTTGACCTCCAAAAACTCCAAATCGGGACAGAATCCCCTCTGAAAAAAACAAATACCAAGTTCATCTGTGCTCTGTGGCTTTGGCTGTTTGTAATGCATATATTAGAAAACAACTTACCGTGATTGCAGTTAGAAGTCTGTCATTCTTTAGTCCATGAGTGAACAAAATTTGCTTGATCTGGGTCCCATGATTTTCAAGGTATTCCAGGAGTCCTTCAACCTGAAACTACAGCAAAAAAAAGTAAGCGTATGTAAACAAATAGGTGGTAAATGAACACCTGCTTGGAACTGCGAGCTGTGACCGGTGTATCAAATTGGACAATAACTATCTGTAATTTAGAGATCCTGTTCTATCGTATCCTTCATTTGCAGGATTATATTTGTCCTACTGTTGGATTTTTACCTTTTATTGTCCTGTGTACACGCAAAAGAGAATGAACTACTCTCATTGGACCACCCTGTACACATACATTGACTAAATTAACAAATATTCTTCATCTGAGGCTGTCTGGTTTAAAGTTGACACTGGTGGATGGAAAGTTTTGAGTATTTATTCATCTAACAACACATTTTTTTTTTTAACCATGAAACGAATCCTGTAACATTTTCTACAAACAATATGTACTGAGCTGCTTTTTGACGTACCTCTGAATATTGGAGGTTTATGCTCTGCAGAGACCGACTGTGCAGGCCGAGGCTGTGGAAGGCCTTCACTGTCAGCCCTGTACAGTAGGAGAGCGTGAGGGAGCGAAGGTGAGGGCACAACTGCGACACAACCTAAATTTGATCACGACAGAGAAAGAAAAAAAACATAGTAAACTCAAAATATGGTGATAGGTAACATATATTTTGTAACAAAAAATGTCTTAAGATGAACTTCAACACTGGCCCACATTTTATTTAATACTGGATCTCTTATTTTTGAATTAAACTCTTCATTTAGAGTCCATGAGGACTCACTTTCATCAGCTGATTATTTCCTCAATTGATTGTTTTGTCTATAAAATGGCAGAAAATAGTGAAAATAAGGGAAATATATTTCCCAGAGGCCAAGGTAATTTATTAAAATAAAAAAAATATTCTTTGACTTTACTGTCATATATGACAAAGAAAGTATCACGTCCACATATTGTAGAAGCAAATATTTTACATTTTCTGATGAAAAATAACAGAAATAATAGTTGCCTGATTAATTTTCCATCCACTCAGTTGACTGGCTCATCCTTTCAGTTTAAGAGTTTATAAAATAGTATCTACTGACTTACCTCTACTGCATAGCTAACATTTTTTGTCCAGTGATGGAGAGAGAAGTCTCGTAGCTGAGAGAATCTAAAAAACAAGAAATATAGTTTAACATTTAGTTTTCAAGTGTGAGATATCTGAGCACAGACGAAGATCACAGCGCACATGTCGAACCTCTACAGACCTGTTCTGTGTCAGCCAGTCAAAAGTGTCCTTTATCTTCTTCTCTGTTTTAGGTAGCTGGTTTTTCCCAGGTGCAATCCAGCAGTGACCTATAGACACTTTACGCCACAGGACCGGACTGGAGGCTGCAGCGTTCCACAGATGACAAACTCTGCCCACCCTGCACCAGAATAAAGAATAAAGTTATAATAAATAAATACTTATCATATTATTATTGATATTAATATCTGGCATATCCATTAAACATAATTAGAGCTTTAAACAGTTTTGTCAATTAATAGATTATTAATTAGATTAGATTAATCTAACAGGAAATAATCTGCAACAATACTGAACTGATTAAACATTTTTGAGACAAAATGTCCAAAAACTCACTGAAATTAAACACGAATATTTGATGGTTTTCTTGCTGTTATTAAATATTAGTTAGTTGAGTTGAGTTTGGTGAAACTGAGGCATTTTTCTTTATGTTTCCAAAATATATATTTTTTATTTATAGTTTATATATATTTATATATTTAACCAGAAAGTCCCTTGAGATTGAAATCTGAGACCTAATGGACCAAATGATAATGGAGAAAAATCAGCAGTTAATTATTAAAATAATCAGCACATAGCTTTTAAAACAACTGTCATGATATTGCAAATTAATACAAATTCATACATGAAATAATTACATTTGAAAGTTTTGTAAAACAATAAAACTTTATGAAGAATCTCGCTGCTCTATATCCTCTTATCTTGGATTTTTGAGTATTTTCTAATCACAGCTACTGTACACATCAAATCAAATGTGTGTCTAATACCTGCATAGAAATGGTACAGCACCATCTTGGACGACCACCATTTGAAAGATTTTGATTAGCACCTCCTCAGGAAGCCTCTGGCCCCACCTGTGGTCCGCTGCTTTCTGTGGCACAAACACATTAGTGTCCTCTTTTTCCTTGGCGACTGGATTACTGGCCAGTTTAGGTTTGGCAGGAACTGTCTTTTTTTTCTTAATCTTAGCTTTCGCTTTTCCTTTAGTCGGCTTCTTCTTTTTGCTTCCCTTCTTTGGGGGAGTCCAGGCCGAACCGCCGTACTGAGAAGTCGTACTCGATATGACGAGAAGCATATCTTCCCCTTGATGGACAGTGTAGGCGGGCTGGGTAGGCCTGGAGACTCTGGCCTTTTTATGCTTCTTGGCTTTTGCATTTGCAGGTTTACCAGCAGCCCTCTTCAGAGACACCTTCTTTGGCTTTGGTCCATCTTCTCCTTGACCTGATGTATTTGATGTGCTCGGTGCGGCGTCTTCTTTTCTTTCACTGTGCGTTAAAGCCTCCGCTCCAGAGGAATCCATCGTGTGCTGCTAACTCAGTCTTTATCGCGAGCTCACTTCAAGAAAACCAGACGTAGGCTGAGAAGTGACATGACAGCACCTGAAAACAGAGTCAGAGTGAGATTAGTTTGTGTTTGTGAGGGTGATTTAATCTCTCCAGTGTAAATACAGATGGAAATATATTGTATCAAGATCAGAGATACAGGAGGTAGTCCAATATCATGAGCATCTGTACAATCTGATAAGTGATGAGTTATTATGCGGTGGCCGATAAATGGCTTTGGTTAAATAATAACAGGTGTAAAGTAGTAATTCAAAGGCGTATGTTTTAGAGCCCGACCGATAAAGGATTTTTAAGGCCGATACCGATACAAATATTTGGTGATTTAAAAATCCGATAGTCCGATATATATTTAAAAAATAAATTCCAGAAACGCGTAACAAAACATAACAGATTTCCCTAACATTAGTTATTTGTGGTTATTTATGAGTCCTCGCTAGAATTTTAGGATAATGCAGTTTTAAAAATAAACTTGTTTGTTTTATTGTCACAACAGAACAAATGTATTAAGTTCTGATAAATAAAATGTATAAAAATACAAATAAGATATGAAACTCAAAGTCCTTTGAACAAAAACACATTGACAAATAAATAATATAAATAATAAATCGTTGTTTCTATTTGTTTGCCTGCAGCTGATAAATAAATACTGTTACATTACTGTTATATAGTTTCTGCACTGGACACCAGAAGTAAAAAGTAATTAAGTACAATTTAAGCTAAGATGTTCCTTTATTAATGTCCTGTAGGAGAAATTCAACAATGTTAAAGCTGCTGCTACTTTATGGTCCTACTGCAGTTGCATCATTCTACGTTAATGTTAATTATTTCATTATTATTGGATTTATGTTACACAATGGGAACTTCCTACATGAATCTTTCAGGTGATGTTACAGGTACATAGGACTCTACGGACAATGTGAGCTCGGTAGGACTGTTAGTTGTCTCCTAACCTGTTTAGAAAATGCGAGTGTCTCGGACAAAAAATGTACTTTTAACAGATTAATTTAATATTTTCTTTTAAAAATGTACTTTTAATCTCGAAGCTGCGTGCGCATCCTCTGTTGTTTGTAAACGGAAGAGCAGACAGTTAGTTGTTGCGGGGCTATTTTGCATAAAATGAGATAAAAATACATTATTAAATGATTTAAACACTTGACACAACACTGTTTTCTGTGTCGTTAAATATAAAACAAAGCACTTACCATCATATCGTCAATGGCAACGCTCACTGGCCCCTCTGCAAACCGACCTAACGTTAGTTAACGATGGCAGAGCAGCGAACAGTAGCATGGCAACAGCTGAAAACGAACTTTAAACAAAAAACACTTTATAAAAGTTAGAAAAACGAGTATATTTCGTCTGCTATTACACACAGCTAGTTAGCCACCAGCCGCCTAACAATCCCCCTCTGTGATTGGCGGAGAGCTCGTCAACGTCCCGCCTTCTGTAAAAAAAAAAAAAAAAACCTCCAATCATGGGGGCCAGCTCGCCGTGACGTAACTGCGAGCTGCCCAATCGCTGGGCCGGCTCGCCGTGACGTCACTGCGAGCTGCCCAATCGCTGGGCCGCCTCGCCGTGACGCCACTGTGTTTCGTGAGGCTGAGGAGCGAGCGTGATTCCCACGGTGGGTGAGAAACTTTACACTTTACAGCGTCAATGTTACTTTGTTGCGGTGTCCACGTTTGTTTGGTTTATCTGTAAACGTTACGGGGTGCAGCGCAACTCTTACGCTCTGGTGTTAGTTCGCAAGTGAATGCGGTTTAGTGAAGTTTGCTGAGGTGAAGTTGCTCACAAGGCTAACATTAGCATGCAGAGGAAGGGCGGCATTAGCGCTCATTTGAAGCATTAATAAATAATAAATAATAAATAATTAGGCTTTTATTAAAAGTTGTGAGCACGGTTGGAGACTATGTATATGTGAATTTGATGGTTAAAATAAAAAAAAGTATTATTCTTGCATGTGTACACCTGCCTGAGGAGATAAGGCTTAAGGTAAATTCTTTTAAATCACTTCTTAAAACCCATTTTATAGACTTGCCTTTATGTGAGTGCTTTACAAATAAAGTTATTATTATTATTATTATTATTATTATTATTACTGCACAGCCTGAACCCCCCAACCTCCACAAAGTGGCACAGATAACACAGATGCTCACTCATTTTCCAGCTGATTAGGACTATTGCAATCTAAAACAGCTGTTGTACTGTTTATATATATATAGAAACACCTTTCATAGTACAACATAATATTATTCAACAGCACCACCTAAACTATTTAAATCTTTGGCAACATTGAAGTGTATTGGAATGACCTCTAAGTTAACGTTAAAACATGCATACAGCTTATTTTCTCTTTTAGGGAAGGGAATGAGTTACTCTTCCTACAGTTTTTATGTTTTTGTGCATGTTAATGCCAAAGGGAGGCATTTTTCTGCACTGGTGCATTCTCCAGGACGACAATGAAAGCACAACACTTGTTCCTGACAGTTTCACATCCTTGCTCATTCAGGCACAAACACTATTAGAAAATGATAAGTACGGGTATACAGGTAAATCTGTATGACTTGTTAGTTTCATGATGCAATTTTGCTTAATGGCATTATTGTTTTTTAGTTTTTTCATCTCATTTGTATCAGTTTGTTTTCTCTGTTTTGGGGATTGAATGAGAGCGAATGAACCCAAAATGTGTGACAAACTGATCACTAGCTGCCTTTAACAGAAAACACCTATAGCTATAAAAGTGATGGACATATAAAATATAAATCACAATTGAGCTATTTATTTTCATACATTCAGTCTCAGCTGGACCATTGGGCCATAGCAAGCTTTACATCTAATTTCTTACACTTACTTCTTTAAGTGGTTGTGCTTCTAGATGATGATGAGTGAACGTTTTCTTTTCTATCTCTCTAGAAACAGCACACAATGGATGAAGGTGAAGATTTCTCCCTTTGTGGTAAAGCGGCTGTAAATGAAGCTAATCTGAGTAAGTCGAAAACATTTGAAGTAAAATGATCTAGTAATAAAGCTGTTATTAAGACGACTATGTGAGCTAATGCTTTATATGGTAATTGATTACTTAACTTTCTAGCAATGTATTTGTTGTATTTTTATAGCATAATCCTCATACTTCCAGAAAACTTTGCATTTCCACGTATAGGTAACCTATCCGAAAGCATAAATAAATAATTTAATCCAGTATAGTCACAGATTTGATTTGCCATCCCCACCACCCATCCTTTCATTAAAAAACTGCAGCGCCACCTTTTTGTCAAGCACTACTAACTAACTTGCTGACTTTTCTGTTTCTCAGGAGATGAGTACTATTGGAAGCTTGTTGCAGACTTCATTGGTCCTCAGTCGGGAGAAGGATTAGAGCTTGAAAAGGCGCCATGCAAGAACAGACTTTTGATTCAAGTAGGACTTCTGAAAGAGGACAACAATTTTCCCTGGATTGCCATTGTAGAGTGGCTCAAGAAAATTTTCCCCAGTCATCAGTCGGCTGACTTTCGTCGTTTGATCGAAAGAGGCATCGCAACGACATTGAGTCTAGGAAGTGATGCGAGGCTGACCTTCCTGGAATCAGATGTCAACTTTAACTTTGTCGGGCCAATATGTGATAGCATCGGAGTGGAGCGACAACACCTTTTGGAAATGAGGGATTTTACAGAGCGAGCACAGTCGATTGAAGTCACGAATGGATTGATTCTTGAGTTGATCAACTTTGTCACCAGGGAGAAAATTGCGCCAGTTGTTTTAGTCACTTGGCTTAGAAACTTCAACCCCGAGTTTTGTAAGAATGGGGACATTCAAAAGGCGTATAAAGTCATCAGAGCCAAGATAAAAAAGTTAAAACTGCATTGCCGCAATTATGAAACAAGAAGTCACAGAAGGAATGCAGTGATGGATATTCTGCTTCAAAGTCCATTTGAACTTGTGCGGAAAAGATCACCGAAACATATCGTGAAGAAACGCATGAGAAGAGATGAAACCATAAATTATGAAAAAGTAACAGTCAAAGAGGAAAATGAGAGCTATGAAATCATGCAAGGTGAGGTGTCTGACATGAACAGAGGACCTGTAAAGACATTAATACTGAAAGAACATGTCTCACATGACGAGAGTGATTTGGATGAATCCAACTGCGGAGAAGAAACCTCAGAAAAGAGAGAAGAGTCCCTGACCCTCCTTGACATCGCAATGCTGTCTGTCCAAAAGCTGTCGAGTGTGTACGGTGGGAAAACCGCAGTATGCAAACAAGTTTCCTTAGATCTCCTCAGGAATCAGTATAATCTAACATGCAAGGAGCATCCGGCCATGGCAGAGTTTGAGAGAAAACTGGACACACTCTGTGAAGACATTTCACTCGCCTCTCCTGTGGTGTTTTTAAACTACAACGCCAACTTCCTTGTTGACATGCACGATGCCGTTGAGCAGCACATCATGAGCTTCGAGAAAGAGATCGTTCTATCGAGGGGAGAGAAACTAGGCCGGGACAAGCTTGCACACTTCAAGAACTTTGTGAATTTGTCGGAAAGTGCCACTTCACGCTACATTCACATGGCCTGCGACATCTTATGCCCTCGCAACCCTGGTTCACAAAACTACAGAAAACACTGGGTAGCTTTCTGCGAGGAGAAGAAAAATCCCTCCAGACTTGCGGTAAACGAGTCAAACCGGTTCAACAACTACTTTGAAGCTGCAGCGGGTCTTATTCACCATCACAAAGAGATCCCTCTCTTCTTCTCTGATTTGCTCTCGCTGAACAACGACGAATGCCCAAACATTATTCTGGAGAGCGTCGCCGCTGATGCTGATGATTCTGTGATACAGAGCCTCGTGTGTGTCCTGGCCATCGTTTACTGCAAAGTCCTCGGGCCTTACTGGCAGCTTCTGAAAAGCGGAGGGGAGTACTCGCTCTTCAGCCGGTACATACTCTCTCTCTACCAAAAGTTCCTTGATTGGTCCAAAGATCCTTCAACGCTGCTGGAGCCTGAAGAGGCTACAAATGTTTTCCACCAGTTCGCGTTGCAGGAGAAAACCTTTGAGGGGGTGTTTCATTACTGTGGTCAGTGGCACACAAATAGGGACCTCATCAGAGCTTGCTTGAAGAGGATGGTAAAGGTGATTGCTGCTGTCACTGAGGAACACCTGAAGGATTTCCTGCCAGGAGGAACATTTTCTCAAGTCCCGTCGCCAGATTTGAGCTTACAACTGGTGAGCTGCACGTTCTCCGTCTTGATGGCGGAATATCCCTCTGGCAGCGCGGACCCTTACAAGAAGGAGAGACCTGACAAGTCCTCCAAACGCTCCTCGCACGGGAACGGGTCATCAGACAGCTCCCAGGAAGACGATGACCGTTCTGGTTCATCTGATGGCAGCTCCGATGAATCCGGTTGGCAGTCCAAGAAGAATACGTACACTGTCCAGAAATATGAGTACAGTCCACCGTTGAAGAAGGATTACAAAAGTAAAAGAGGAAAGGCAGAAAGGATACATCAAGAGGAGCAGGAGGCAAACATGGATAGGGACTACATAATGGCCACAGTGAGGAAAAACGGAGGGCCGTGCAAGACGCAGCAGGATGTTGACAAAATGCTGCTGCGATTTGATGGAAAACCCCGAGTAGAGAAATGGGAAGCGATCCGTTGTGAGGTTCTGTACCAGAAAATGATTCTGAACAACACAGATCCGAACTTGGATTGTGTTTTCCACAACAGCACGCAAATGGTGTTGAAGCTGAAGCTCTCACTACCTCGGGTCAAACCCGGGTACTCTCTTGTGTGGGCGCCGAGAAAGACAAAAACAAAGCCTGTGTTGCCTGCTGCGACGGACCAGAGTGAAACCAGCAACACATGAGCGCTTTCATTGCATGTAAAAAGTGTGACTATTGAGCGATAGATGAGAAGATAAATTACTTGGAATGATGAGGGAAGGAAAATGGGTTGAACATGTGACTTCATCATGTGATTCTGTTTGGAAACTAACCAGAAATACACACAATGACCTCAATCTTTCCACACAAATATTATATTGTGTGTTGTAATGTATGTTTGATTCTGTATACGTCAGATGCAGCTGTACCTACTGTATTTTCAATGCCGGTATACCCTTTTTCACAGCAGCCATTTTGACATGAAATAGTAGGGTAATCACAGGCGTTACCAACACGATGTTATATATTATATTAGGTTCGGTACCATTTAGTGTCGCAGTGAGCCAGCATGCACAATAGCGGCTCTCTTAAATCTGTTTGACCTGAATGTTACATCTGTATTTATCCTACTATTCCATGTCCAAATGGTTGCTGTGAAAAAGGCATAAAAGTTAAATTGATGTTTGATTTTGAGGCTCTTACACTTATGTCACATTTCCCCAATCATGGTTCTGTACTGTTACAATGCTTTTCTAGAAAAAAGCTTTTTTTTTAAAAAATATATATGTACAGGATTGTACCCATTGTAATCATCAGATAATAATCAGGGCTGACCTTAAAGATGTTAAAAGAATCACTGACTAAATAAACATCTTTGTTCATATTTTCTTTCTTTACTTTGTCGACCTGGATCATAAACTAGAAACAGTTAAATGCTGATGTTTGGTGTTACAGAATCAACCCCTAGTTCAAGTTCAAGACTAATTTCCACCATCGGTCATATTTTGGTTTTGTCAGTCACATAATAACCCGTGTGTTTCTTTCTTTGAAGGGCATTTGTTGTTGCATCACAGGCGTCCGCAATGTCAGTGAGTTCATTCTTATAAAAGCTTCGACTGGGAGGAGCTCAGGAAAAAAGGGAGGTAGTAATGAGTGAGGGGCTTATTGGGGTCACTGTGCCAAATGTCAAAGCCTCAATAATTTTTTTTCAAATATATATATTTGCACAGCCAAGACTCCCAGAGAGGATGGACACCCACCATTTGATTTTATGGTATTAGTATTTGTATTTAAATTGTAGGTAACTTTATTTTTTTTAGAGGTATTCAGTGGATAAATCATATACAGCAATGAATGGTCAAATAAAAGGTCCCCATGTGTCGCTTTTTATGGGAAAACTCTTGCTTTTGAGTGCCGCCCGCATCCGCTGCCATGGAGAGGAAAACAAACGCACCCAGTTCATCCAACCAGTGGTCTACGAGGACGATGGTGCGTTCAGGTTTACAGGAAAACTGAAAGCTCTATTAAACCGAGTATGAACAACGCGTTTAATATGGATCCACAACACAGGGACAGACCCGCGGTCGCACACTAAACTGTGTCCTTTTAGATATAAGCCAATTGGTTTTACTATACAGTTAAATTTAGGGGTTGGTTTTGTCTCCAGCAACTAGTATACACATAACTCACTGTTGTTTAACTGTGACACAGGGATTTACGAGGGGTACGCGAAGGCAACTGAAAGGGGCGGGAACTTTGCGTAAGCGTCCACCATTATTCAGGTTCAGGGCAGCGTGTGGAGGAACCACATAGTCGTTGTTTAACACAAACAAAGTCAAACGGGTTGTTTTTGTTGTTGTTGTTGTTGTTGTTGTTTTAGCGGCACTTCTTTCGTCCTCTTGTCCGGAGTAAAGCGGCGTCATGTCCGGCAGTTGGTGGAGCAGCGCGGCGGTCACTCACGGGCTGATCGCTCTGTTCGCAATGGGCTCGTGGATTTCCGTCAACAGTCTGTGGGTCGAGCTTCCGGTGGTTGTCCGGGTGATGCCCGAAGGTCAGTGGCTCCGAATAATAACACTTCAAACATGTTCACGTTATCCAGCTGCTGTACACGACGTTAGGGCCACACTGAGAGACACAATTATTAGATCTACGAGAATAAAGTCGTAA